GCAGCAGCCATGACAACCCCTTCTTGGGGACAAGTGGGCTCTGCAGTGCTGGCGGGCTTAGGGAAAGGTATCTGACTGGTCCCATTTCACAGACGAAGGAAGGCAGGCTTAGGGACGTGAAGGCTTTCTCCCTGTCCTGCAGCCAAGCTCAGTGCCTCTCCCCACCTGCAGGAACCTTGCCCCAGGGGAGGGAAACAGCCAGTTTATGAGACTGGGGACAGGCTGACTCCAGGGCCTGAGCTGCTGTGCAGGCCTAGGGCCACCGTCCCCTTCCCAATGGCCTGTTTGAGACACCAGGATGAAGTTTCCTCACTGTGAAGTTTGTTCACAGGGTCGATTTTTCTGAAGTCAGCCCTGGCTTGAATGAGTTGAGCTTCATACACACCCAGATTCTATCTTCAGTGTCCAGGCAAAGGGGAGAGGGTCAACCAGGTGGGGGGTCATGGATTTGTGGCTAGGCAGAGGCTCCACCCCCAATACCCCAGTGGGGTGTTGTCTGCAGCTGGAGAGAGTTTCCTCCTCCCAGACACTGAGTGTCCCTCTGGGATTTGGAGAGGACAAGCCAGGATACTGGCTGTGGCCAGCCCACAGAGTTCCCAGGCCCTGCCCGACCCAGCACCAACCTCCCTCTCCATTGTGCATCCCCGGCTCTGTGTGAGATTGGGGGTGGGGGCCAGGAAAGGAGTCTATCAGACCCTGAGCTCTTTCAGAGCACAGACTTGGGTTTGCTCTTCTCTGAATTCCCAATGATCAGCACACAGTGGGGGTCTTTAAGTGGACTCCCAAGCCCTAACTTGTGGGAGTCCCAGTCTGATAGTGATGACTGCCCCTGCCCCAGGGAGCCTCCAGCCTCTGCGATCCCCTGTTCTGGGAGAGCCCCTGCCCTTGTAGTCTGAGGGAGGTGCTCTGGCCCTCGCCCACATCGCTGCGCACACTGTGTAGTGAGTGGCTTGCACTGCCTGGATCTGGAGAAGAAAGAGCACTAGACCTGGAGTCGGGACCCTTGCCTGGCTCTGATTCCAGCACGCCCACTGCCTTGCCAAAGCCTGACTCCAGGCCCCGACTTCATCTGGAAGTGAGGTTTGCGTCTCACTTCTGAGCTTCCGCTGGACTCGGACATCTGAATTTATCATTGAACAACCACAGAAGTGGCTGTCATGTGGGGAGACAGCAACATCACGGAGGAGTTCTAGCATAGCTTGATGGGAAACGGCTCCTAGGGCGGGTGGCAAGGGTGGGACCCACCATCGAGAAATCTCACAGGGCTGTGTCTAGACCGGTATGCGCCCCACTCGCTCACTGCAGGGGAATCTACTGAGCATCCGCACGTGCCCGCCACTGGGCTCTGGGCCAGATCCTCTGCATTTGAGTGTCCAGGGGCCCCTGGTGAGAGCCTTGGTTGGGAGAAATAAGTCGAAAGAGTTGGACTACTTGCCTTAGCAGAAAAACTCTTCCTTTTTTTTGGGGGGGGGGGGAGGTTTTTGTTCTAG